GTGGGAACCTGACAGGAAATGAAAGTGATAAAAATCTTTCAATGACAGTGTCTCTCCTTGTTGTCACTCAGTCCCTTCCACAAATTAAAATCCCAGGAGTACAATTGAGACAGGTTAGCCAAGAGTTCCCAGGGAGACGGTGACATTGATGTCCCACGACTGTCCCACACCTCAGTCCCGTCTTGACAAGAAGGGAGACTGGGTCAGGAACTCTGCCTCATTCTCCAGGGGCCTCCACACCTGCGGAGCCAACACACGTCTCAGCTCAGAGATTCGGCCACTTTCTCTCTAACTCCAGGCAGAGCCAGACAGCTCAGCCCCCTGGAACTCGGGGACAACCAATGAACCCCGGTGTAGAGAGACAGACCTCCTCACCTGGTGTAGTAGAGCCAGGTGAGGCCATAGGTGAGGAGGAAGCCAGCGCCCATGAGGGCCCCTCTGAGCAGGGTGAAGACCAGGGGCCAGGAGCCCTGCTGCTCCTCAGTCATGGGTCTGCCGGAATGCGGGCTTCCTGGGGAGAGGGAGGGAGTGAAGTGTGTCCCAGGTCTCAGTCCCACCCGCAGCCCCAACACCTGACCAGCAGCCGGCCCCAGCACCCGTCCTGCATTCACTCTGCACAGAGAGGCTGAAGGAAACCTTTTGGGAGCCCAGCCGGTGCTGTGCCCAGCAGGTGAACTCCCCTCCCTCTCCAGCCCCTATATGGGGCAGCTCCAGGATCCCGGTTTCTGAGGGCTGGGAGGGGCTCATGGCTTTTCCCATCAGGAACCAGCTCAGCATGGCAGGGGGGTTGTTGTCAGCCATGCAGACCAGGCACACGAATTGGCCCTCCAGGACAGTCAGGGACGTGTGGTTGCTCAGGGTCTTGGGGGCTGTGGAGGGGTACACAGAAGGTGACTCAAGAGACAGTGACCCTGCCCAGGTTGTGGGCTAGATCCCAGGTAGGGGCATGCAGGGGACAGCCAATCCATGGGCTCTCTCTCATCCTCGATGTTTCTATCGGCCTCTCCCTCTCCCATCCCCTCTCTGAAATCAATAAGAAACTAAAAAAACAAACAAAACAGAAAAACAGAAATAAGAGACACAATGTCTTTGCTTGTCAGGCCAGGCTACCAGGAAGATGGGGGCTGGGCTGAGCTGAGGTTGGACAGGTGAGTCGTGGGTGGGCAGCTCAGAGGGAGATGCGTCAAGGGTTTAGTCCGCGCAGCAGGCAAGAGGAAATGCATCCACACCTGCAAAGTGGCAGGAGGCCAGGGAGCAGCAAGGGCTCGATAGCGGTGGAGAGGAGGCAGGGTCAGAAACCTGGAGCCTTGAGTGCCTGGCTGAGGGCATTAGGGTGTGCCCTGGGCTCTCCAGAGAACAGCAGGGAGCTACGCGCAGGGAAGCAGAGGATGGGTGCTGAGTCTACAGAGATCCAGCTGGGCCACGTGGGGTCTGCACCAGGGAGATTAGTCTGGAGGCAGGGAGGCTGAGGAGCAGGCTGAGGCTACGGGGTCCAGGGTTGAGGACAAGACTGGACTGAGTTGGGGCCAAGGGCAAGGAGAAGAGGGAAGTGATCTGAGAAGTGAAGTTTCCGAGGCTCACTGACTCGGGGTGCGGCTGGTGAGAAAGGGAGTCGTCTACAGTGAGTCACACCACACCTGGCTTAAGTGTGATCCCAGGGCAATTGAGAAGCACCAGCAAGAGGCGCCTACTTGCCCGAGCACCAAAGGGTCACGGGTTCGAATCCCAGTCAAGAGCACATACCTGGATTGCAGGTCCCATCCCCGGCCCTGGTCGGTCAGGGCACATGCAAGAGGCAGCCAATTGGTGTGTCTCTCTCACATCAGTGTTTCTCTCTCTCTTCCTCTCTCTGTCCCGTTCTCTTTACCCCTCCCTCTCTTCCACTCCCTCTAAAACATCAATGGAAAAATATCCTCAAGTGAGGACTAGTAAAGAAAGAAAATAAATGAGGTGCCTACTTGTGCAGGTCTGTGGCCGGGTTAAAGCTGTGGGTCAGGACAGAGGAAGGATCTCAGGTGGAGACAGACGAGACGGGCAAGCCTGGGAAAGTGCAGAGAGATTGAAGGAGGCCCAGGTGGAGCTGTGGGGAGTGGGACCAGTGAGGGCTCCTGCAGAAAATGACCAGATCCGAGATGAAGAAGGAGGGGAGGGCACAGGGGAATTCTAGAAATGAGAGCAGGAAGATGCAGAACCCGGAGTTGTCACTACCCTAGAGATGGCAAGCGGAAGCGGATGCCAGGGGCTGCGGGTAGAGACTGGATGGGCAGTTAGAGTCTGATGGGGGTTTCGGTTTCAGTTCTGGAAGATGGAAGAAATTCCATCTTGCACAACCCTGCTGAGCTGCCCCCTTAAAAATGGCAAAGATGGTAAATGGTATGTTCCGTGTGCTTTGCCGCAATGAAACATAAACGTAGGACTTGACAAAGGAGCAGAGAGCAGCCAAAAGCAAGAGTGGCCCCGTGGATGTGAGACGTTGGTGAGGGTGCAGGGGGCAGAGCCACACGGGGGGGAAGGGTGAGGGAGGAAGTCTCATCTCTAAGCCCTGACACCTGAGCTGGCAGAGATCCAGCTCCCCTCCCATCCCCACAGAGGAGAGAATCGTTCCGACCTGTGCAGTTTCCCTGGGAAAGCCTCATCGTCAACACAGGAGCATCTGGGGAGGGAAAATGCGGTGAGGGCCAGCGGGGACATTTGCCCTTTGCCCCAGGAGTCCGCTAAGCGGAAGGGGTGGAGCTTTACTTCACCAAAACCCTCTGGGAAAGGGATCCCGGGACTGGACCTCCTTCTGGCCCTCCTGCCTCATGGGACCCAGCGACCCCTCAGGCACTCACAGGAGACATTGAGCTGGATGGTTCTCTGCGTGGTCACCAAAGATCCTTGGCGATTAACCTGACAGGTGAGGTTGGTGCCATGGTCACTGGATCTCAAGGTGAGGTTGAGCACCGAGGAGCTGAGGGTCTGGGGGTTCAGCGAGTCAACAGCGGCTCCCGCCCAGGAGAAGGTGAGAGGTCTTCCCCCTTTGCAGGACCCTGGCAGGCTGCAGGTCAGCTGAGTGGGGCGGCCACACTCCAGAGGCTCCAGAAAGTGGATGTGGGGCTTCTCTGTCAGGGCTGAGGAGAGAGGCAGGTGCCTGGGCTCCAGGAAGTGGGGACTCAGAGCGTGACCCTGAGAGGGACCCAGCCTCAGGGCCTCAGCTCACCCCAGGCCCTGGGCCTCTTCCCACCACCCTTGGCCCAAGGCCTGAACAGGGAGTGTCCCAGCGTCCTGTTCCTGTTCTAAGACAGGGTCCCATGTCCCTGGGTTCTCTCCTGAGCCCCTGCCATACCTGTCACTTGCAAATTCAGCAGCTTATCTTGGTAAGTATATCTTCTATATCCTCTCTCCATTCGGAAGATGTAGGTTCCTGTGTCACTCCTCCTGGCGTCTCTGATGGTCAGGGAACAGTTCTTGTCCCAGGGGTCCCCGAGGAGGAATCGGTCCTTGGTCTCTCTCTTCACTGTTTTTTGGGGGTCGTTTGTGGCCACAGGATAACCATAGTATGGGCTGTCCCCATACCGGTACCAGTAGGTGTAGAGTTTGTTAGAGGAACCCTGAAAAGCCTTCGGGTAGGAGAAGGAGCAGGACACGTGGACGCACAGACCCTCCTGCACTGTCACTGATTCTGGCACTTGGAGCTCAAAGCCTGGTGCCTCCTGCAGGGACCCTGGGGGGACACAGAGGCTCAGCTGCAGCCTTGCCCCTCCCCCACCTGCCCAGCCCCCCTTCCCTCGGCCCACTCACCCCCCCACAGCAGGGGCAGCAGCAGCAGGGGCACCATGTCTGCATCTGACAGGGCAGAGCAGTCCAGGTCCCTGGGTCCGAGGGAGATGCCCAGCTGTGGGTTGGGGCCGAGTATACGCCAACAGGAAGCCCTGGGGGAGAGCTGTGCTCCAGTTGGAAGAGGAACTTGGGCTCCACAGGACTTGGGGGGTGGGGTGGCAACGGAGAAATCATCCTGTCTCACCTCCCCCCACCCCCACCCCAGCCCTGCAGGTCAATACCAGGGCCCCCAAGGGTGAGAGCCTTGTCCAGGTGTCAACCCAAAAGGGATCGCCTTACAGGTGGTGTTTAAGTCCAGAGGGAAGTCACCCAGGGGCCATGTCAGTCAGAGCAGGTCCTGGTGACTCATGGGGACCCACCCTCTAGCTGAAACCATGGAACTTTCTGGGAAAGAGTAATTTTAATAGTTATTTAGACCAACTGCCGGCAAAAGAGAAAGGAATTGAGACCCAACTCCAGTGGAGGCTGGAACCCAAGGGAAAAGTTGAGCATTTAGCCTTTTGCTCTGAAGGCTTTGGGGGGCACGGGGTGCACATGTGTTGGCTTCCGGGCTCTGAGGTCCGTGGGAGAGGGAGGGCGCACAAGCCCGCTCAGCACGGGATGTGTGAAGGGAGATCTCGCCCCATTTGTCGGGGACCTCAGCACAGCAGCCAGTTGGCTGCCCGAAGCTCAGGGAACTCCACCCTCAGGGTCCCTCACATGCTCGGTCCCTTTTCAAAGCCCCACCAAGGCTGACAGCACATGTTCTCTTTCTGCTCCGTTTGTGTCCCAGCATCAGCATAACAAATTCCTCACATTAAATTCCCGAGGCTGAAATACACGGTGGGGCTTCTGTGTTCCTCATTGGCCCTGGATTAAACCCGATGGAATCTCAGGAGATGAAACAGTGAGCACTGGACGATTTCAAAGGCATTCATGATAAAATTCACAGGCAACCAGGAGGAAAGGAGACTTTCCTCACGAGACACGATACGGGGTGTCTGCAGCAAACATCACACCTAATGCAGTAGCAGCGGGTCCTAGTCTAGACAGACGAGAACAGTAAGTGAAAGCTATGACAACTCAAAAGAAAGTAAAGCTGCCTTTCTTAACAAATGACTACATCTAGACAGTCCACGAGTGTATGCAGATACATTTAGGGGGCTTAAGAAGAGTTAGCAAGGTTCCTAGAGACAAAATCGAATTACAAAACTTAAATGTGTTCCGCTATCACAGCGAGAAACAAATATAGGGTGGTATAAAAGATGCCATTGCCGTTAGCATCAAAACTTATATTCCTGGAATATTCAGAAATGTACCTCACAAAAATATCCGATGCACTTCCTCAGTGGCGGAAATAAGAAGACTCTTTGGAAGGACAATAAAGATGTAAATAAATAACCCTGGGCGGGTGACTCAGTTGGTTGGAGTATCATCCCGTCATACACCAGAAGGTTGTGGGTTCGATTCCTGGTCAGGGCTTATACTTAGGTTGGGGTTTCCGTCCTGGGCCAGGGCGCGAAAGAGAGGCAACTGATCAATGTTTCTCTCTCACATGGATGTTTCTCTCTCTCTCTCTCTCTCTCTCTCTCTCACACACACACACACACACACACACACACACTCTCCCTCACCACAAGCCACAAGGTATAGACAGGAAAGCAGAAGAGGAAATTTCCCCAGAACCTGTGCCAGGCAAGATGGGCCTCAGGGGCAGACAGAGGGACTGGGCTGACACCCCTCAGAGCACAAGGTCCCCCATCCTGATAGACCCCAAACTAAAGTATTGGGGAAAGGAGGCAACTATTTTTTCATTCAAGGAGGGCCGCAGAATCCATCTGAGGGAGAGGAGTGTGTGTGTGTCTTTTACAGATAAACTAATGATGAAATTTTGTGGAGGTGAAATTCCCATAGAATTGCTAATGCTCATTTGGGGGGTGTAAACTTCGGAGCTGTTGCTCACTGCACCTCCCCCACCATGGTCAGTTCCGAAGGCCTACTGCACCCCTTCGCCATCCCCACAGGCGGAAGGGTGTCTCTGTTTTTAAATTTAAATTTAACTTTGCATTTACAGTTTACAATTCAATATTATTTTGTATTAGTTTTGGGTGTACAACAGGGTGGTTAAACAATCGTGTACTGCCCGGCCGGGCGTGGCTCAGAGGTTGAGCGTCGACCTGGGATCCAGGCGATCGGGTTCGGTTCCTGGTCGGGGCATGTGCCTGGGTTGTGGGCTAGATCGGTGGCTCTCTCATCATTGATGTTTCTGTCTCTCTCTCTTCCTCTCTCTGAAATCAATAAAGATATTTAAAAAATTTTTTTTAAAACAAAAAAAAACACAAAATCATCGTGTACTTTTCCAGCGGCTCCCCCCAGTATTCCCAGCACCCACCCAGCGCCGCCCATAGTTATTACAATATCATTGTCCACATTCCCTGTCCTGCGCTTTGCATCCCCAGGGCGATTGCAAAGGGTGTCTCTTTAATTCAGCTCCTCAGCAAGGGTCTGGCTCATTCAGGTCCTGGATGGAAAGCCAAGGCCAAGCCCAACCTCTGCTGCGCCCGGCGCAGTCAGCATTTTCATGGCGTTTCTCTAAATCCAGCACACCCGTGCTTTCCCGTCTCACCTAAGAGGGCTGGAGGGAGGCTGAGGGTCACATGTGAAAGCCACAGGCCAGAAACACGGGCCCACTGTTGTGTGGGTCCCAGCCTCAGTAGTGATGCTATGGGTTAGGAACGCCTGGGCACCCACCTGGCCCCTATTCCTGGCAGCCAGCCCCAAAGACATTTCCCCAACCAGAGCAAATATTGTTCTTATAATGACTTCAGCAAAAACCATAAGGGAACTTTGAGGAACAAGATTTATTATTCAGCCACTTGGCATGGTTCGGCAGATGAGCATCGACCTAGGATCCAGGATATCACAGTTCAATTCCCAGTCAAGGCACATGCCCGGGTTGCAGGCTCGATCCCCAGCCGGGGGCATGCAGGAGGCAGCCCATCAATGATTCTCTCTCATCATTGATGTTTCTCTCTCCCTCTCCCTTCTTCTCTCTGAAATCAATAAAAATATTTTTTTAAGAAAAAAAAGACTTATTATTCATAGGTCTTGGAAAGGACAAGCAGGTGTGGTCAATGTTGCTGGTAGAGAGAAAAGAAGGGAGCATGGACCTGGGACTCTGCCCTTGTTAGAGTCCAATGATGGGATGCTTTGGGTTTCAAAGCTTTACTCTTTATTGGCTAATTGAAAACATAAGGGAGGAAATTAAGGCATGGGAATGGAGAAATAGGATCACTCAATGGTCAATTATCTTGGTTATCCAAGGCTTTCTAATAAAAGGACCTTTCATGGGTGGATGTGGCCTAATTTGGAAGCTGTACCTTAAAACCTGCAATGTTTATTCAAGATGGATGTCTTTTTAAATGAATGTTTTGGCAATCCAAAGCTTAATGTCAGGCACACTCACTACATCCATTAAATTTTTTATTATTTTAACTTTTCCTCATTTATAGTTGACATTTCATATTATGTTAGTTTCAGGTGTACAGCACAGAAGTTAGACATTTATATAATTTACAAAATGATCCCCCCAATAAGTCTATTACCAACCTGGATTTAATCATAGAATGTGGTAGGCTCAATAGTGACCCCCAGGTCCTAATCCTGGAACCTATAAGTGTGACCTCAGATTGAAAAGGAAATTTTGCAGGTGTGATTAAGTTAAGGACTTTGAGATGGGGAGAGTATCCTGAATTAAATGGGTGGGCTCTAAATGTCATCACAAGGGCCCTTAAAAGACAGAGGCATGGCGAACATTTGACTACAGAAGTAGAGAAAAAAATGTGATGATGGAAGCAGAAATGACCTCCAGGAAGGAATACATTTGTGTTGTCTTAAGCCACTAATTTTGTAGTCCTTTGTTACAGCAGCTATAGAAAACTGTTACATAAAAGTACAGAATACCTCCCCTAGCCACACCTGCAAGGCTCTAGTATAACAACAACAGATTATAGCTGATAGAGGAGAGGAGAGGAGTTTGGAGTATGGCACCTACAGCTACAGAAAACAAAAACAGCCCAACTCCTGGTCACATTAACATAAAATCTTACAGTAAAGGCACCACTAGGTACCTCGGTTCCTAGCCCTCCATACATCATGTCTGGCTTGCAACAAAAAAATGTCAAGGCATGCTAAAAGGCAAGACAAAGCAAAGCTAGACAAAACAACAAACCAGCAGGCAGGATATATGAGAGCTCTCTGTGCTTTCTGCTCAATTTTGTTGTAAACCTAAAACAGCTCTAAAAAAATCAACGTTTATTTTTTTAAAAACATCAACAACTCTACAGTCTGAAAAGACAAACCAAGAATCGGAACCAGACTCGGACACAACATAAATGTTGGAATTATCACACAGAAAATTTAAAATCACTATGATTACAATGTTAAAGGCTGTAAAGGAAAAAGTAGACAACATGCAAGAAGAGGTGGGAAAGTAGCAGAGAGATGGAAGCTCTAAGATAGAATCAAAAGGAAATGGTAGAATTAAAAAAAAACACTGCAACGGAGATGAAGAACACCTGGTCTGGCTGGCTGACCGCAGAGTCCACTCCCTGTCCTGCAGCACTAAGATGAGCCTTGGGGAGAAAAACCATCCGCACCTGGGCTCCTGTTTCACGAAGTACTGACTTTAAAATATCGAGTATTTTAATCCATGAACATGATATATTTCTCATTTAGAACTACTTTAAATTCTCTCGGTGACATTTTCCAGTTTTTAGTGTAGAAGTCTTGAAACTATTTTGTTAGTTTTGTTGTTAGGAATATTGTGATTCAGGGTCTCTTGCAGAAATCAGCTGAGGCTGAGCAAGAGCTGCCAGATTTATTTGGCTGCATTCTCTCTCTGAGTGCTGTGGTCTCCCCTGCACTGAAACCAAACGAAAATTCCTCTAGCCAGAGGTTCACTCTCTAACTTCATTTCTCACCGGTGGGTCTTGCTCAGCCTGAGGACCAGAGGAAATC